GAAAAATTTTCATCGGTTGGTTAAACGTGAAGATTGAGCAGATTGTTGGTTTTGTTTGGCTATTGGCTGCATATGGACATTTCTTAAGGTTCAATTTATTTTGATGCATTTTCGAAAAATGCAAATACAGTTTTTTAGACGCATCATTTCAGATTGCAAAAAGCTCGCGTTATTCTATTCTTTTTGCTATTTTACACAAGATGACGCGAGCTTTTTGCAATCTGAAATGATGCGTCGAAAAAAACTGCATTTGAATTTTTCGAAAATGCATCAAAGTAAATTGAACCTTAAGGACTGGTTCCTAAATCTTCATCAATAATAATCACTAGCTTTGGCCTTGACCTGTGCCCAAGTCAAATTTCGGTCAACGTTCTTAATTTCACTGTTTAGGCTCCGCCCCCTGAGCCTCTGGGTCTGCCGCTGCTGCGATGTCCTGCTGGATTCCAGTCCAGTTCTTGCTTGCAGATTTCGTTTCCGCTCCGTTGCACTATGGGCAAAAATGGGTCCAAAATTACCCAAAATTCAATATCTCAACAGCACGCTGAATTCCGGCCATGAAAAACGACTTTTCCGAAGGGAAATCGTCCGGGGAATCGATTGCACGTGGTCCCATAGACCGGAGAGCCTTGTAGGTATGTGTTTTGGACAATTTTACCCCATTTTCCCTTACCTTTTGGAGGAAATATTTTTTCATAGCTCTATTTTTCGTAAAACATAAGCACTTTATGCATGCTTTTAGAATACAATGTCTTTAAACAACAGTTCATGAGATATTAGGGGAATACGGGGTACACTTTATAGAGGAGTAAGGGGTAAAAGTGAAAATACAATCAATGTTTTTTAATACAAAATTCAATTTTTTTCAATATCATAATATTTTTTCTGAAAAATACTTTTAATTAACTTTTATTAGGTATTTTGAGTTCCGTCATCGGCCAAACAGTTCAAAAGTTATAATTTTTTGAAAAAAATCGAATAAAAATTTTTTTGACCGCTCTAATATATAAACAGTTACTCTAAAAATAAAAAAAATAGGTCTAATATGTTGCGATAAGGAACAATACTACCAATTTTTACAAAGTTCTGAGAACCACTTTATCGTTTTGCTGTATACAAACAAAAAAAGAGAAAACTCTTTTAAAACAGATAGCAGTAAATTAAAACTTATTTAACCCCAATTAACCTTAAAATTTCGAAAAAAAAAAATCTTATTATTGCAGGCAACCTTTGGAGTCATTCAAACAATCGCATCGTTCAACATTTTTATGAATTAAAATAAATTTAGCGAGGGTTCACTTTTACCACTTACTCTCCTATAAAGTGTACCCTGTATTCCCCTAATATCTCATGAACTGTTGTTTAAAGACATTGTATTCTAAAACCATGCATAAAGTGCTTATGTTTTACGAAAAATAGAGCTGTGAAAAAACATTTCCTCCAAAAAGTAGGGGAAAATGGGGTAAAATTGTCCAAAACACATACCTACAAGGCTATTCGGTCTATGGGACCACGTGCAATCGATTCCCCGGACGATTTCCCTTCGGAAAAGTCGTTTTTCATGGCCGGAATTCAGCGTGCTTTTGAGATATTGAATTTTGGGTAATTTTGGACCCATTTTTGCCCATAGTGCGTTGTAGTGTGTGGCCGACCCACCTGCACTTCCGTTCACGAATTTCTGTCTCTGTCGGCTTCTGATGGCACAAACGATGAAGCTCGGAATTTGAGATCCAATTGTGTGGCCACCAGGCACGAATTATGTACCGCAGGCATCGGTTGATAAACACCTGCAGCTTCTGAGTGTTCTCCGCTGATACACACTATGTTTCACTGGCGTATAACAGCACAGACTTCACGTTCGAGTTAAAAATTCGGATTTTGGTGCGTCGACTGATCTAATTCGCTCTCCATACATTTCGCAAACTGGCAAAAGCAGCCCTCGTCTTCTTAATCCGTGCGCCTATGTCGCTCTTGGTGCCGCCGTCCGACGCTATCTGGCTGCCAAGATATTGGAAGCTTTCGACTTTCTCCACTGCCTACCCAGCTACCGTGAAATTGGAACAGTTTTCCGTGTTGACATCCAACGATTTGGTCTTGTTGACGTTGATGGTTAGACCTGCTTCAGAGGAGCGTTCCACAAGGTCGTCGAGCTTACTCTGCATGTCAGAGCGCCGTTGTGCTAATGATGCTCCATAGTAATAGGCTGCCACAGCAACCCACGGTTCGGTACACGGTAGACGGCTCCAACCATGATCTCGTCGATTACGATGAGGAACAGTAGCGGTGATAATATACATCCTTGCCTCACACCCGCGATTACCCGAATTGGGTCAGACAAAGCTCCGTTGTGCAACACTCTCCATGAGAAAGCCTCGTACTGCGCTTCGATGAGGTTGACAATCTTATCAGGGACTCCCTTGCGTCTCAGAGCGCCCCACAAGTTTTCGTGGTTTAGTCGGTCGAAAGCTTTTTCGTAGTCAATGAATACCAAGTACAGGGACTCTTGAAACTCATTGACCTGCTCCAAGATGATGCGGAGCGTGACAATATGGTCCACACAGGATCTTCCAGCACGGAATCCTGCCTGCTGTCGTCGGAGAGTCGTCCAGTCGGCCGGAAAAGTCGCGGTGTCCCAGATATTGACGAATAGTTGATGCGACATTTGTGAGGATAGCATGGGGTCAGCTTTGAGCATCTCTGCTGATATGCGATCGACCCCCGGGGCTTTGCTGGACTTCATACTTCGGATGGCTGATTCTGGTGGAGGTTCAGTGTTGACGTTGTGGTTACGAAAGTGACCCCGTTGGCTTTGTACCACTCAAGGACAACATTTGAATAGTAGCACTAAGCTAGATCCGGCCAGAAGATCGTAGAGCCCTTGTTGCTTCAACAGAGGAAGCAGATGCTTCTGTAGACACTCCTTGAGGTAGATCTTCCCGTTTACAGTCCCGGTAGTCACGAACGGCAGATCGCTTGCCAAATCATGTATTTTTTGGCAAACTTTGAAAGTTTCTGCTTCCTTACTTCCTGCGGAGCATCAAAGTCTGCCTTGACGTAAGTCTCATCATCCATGATGAGACAATGAGGCTTCGTCAGCATCTGGGTGTACAGTTTCTGTGCCCGTGACTTTCCCAGCGTATTTTGCCGTTCGTCGCTATTTGGAGCCTTCTGCACTTTGTACGTATGCAGTCCCTCCCGGTCCTTGGCTCTCTGAACAAAAGACTTGGACAGATTCAACTTTTAGGCCACATCCCTGACCATTGCATTGGGATATCGCTTAAACGCTTTCACGACACGCTTGTGATCCTGATCACTAATAGAACATCCATTCTGACAGCATTTATCCTTCCGTTCGATAGTCAGAGTTTAGTAGTAACGTTTAATCACACGACTCACCGTTGTTGACTCCGAGTTGTTTTCCGATGTCCCGATGAGAGAGTTGTGGATTTTCCAGGTGCTTGCGCAAAATCAATTCGCGACGTTGCTTTTCGGGTGACGCCATTTTTTCCAACTTTCGAAAAACTGACAGCGATAAAAAGGCAGTGTAAAAAATACACTCTTAGCTACTTCTACCCAAATATTCAAGAGAAAATACCAAATGGGTAATTTCCAACACTTTCCATGATGCAATTTGATGTGGGACACCCTTTATTGTTCAAGCACCCTAGTTAAAAATCATAACACCTGGAAGTTCAATTTAATTGCGCAAAGCGCCTTTCTTAAATCTACTATTATCTGCATTCAGAACTTTGTTTGGAATGCCTTAGAACATCTCCTGAGGTGTATGCCAGTCGTCGACCACAGCAGCTATATCCACTGAAGCTTATCATGTCAATCTCTACTGTATAAAATCCGCGTTTCCAAGAGTTAAACATAAATCTCCTTCCATCGACATGCATTGAATGAGGGGAGAAGAGCTCGTCCTCTATCCGTGAAATGCCGACTAACATCTGCTGAAATATTGCTTTGAATTTGTCCTTAAAATTATTCCAGCGTTGGGAAATGCGTCAAAACGCTTAAGAAGGTACTTCATGAAATTCATGAATGAAGGCATTAGACAAATTTTAAATATAAATAAGCTTTTAAAAGTAAATGAAAATAACATTTGTTATAGTAATTCAAGCTTGTCATAACAAGATGCAGTATTTATCATAATTCAACAACAATAAACAGCTTAAGAGTACCGCTGATTTAATAACCCTATGGCTAAGTTGATAAGATTTTTGAGTATAAATAGTTTAAATGACGGCTTCGGCAATAGCTTTACCTACTATCGTCAGGGGATGGGGGTGGCTAAATAGTATTTTAGCGATTTTTTTTTGTAAATTCTCTGAAACATGCAAAAATTTAGCGCTAAAGAACTTAATTTATCCGCTGACGATAATAGTTAAAGATATTGCCGAAGCCGAACTTTTGATGATACATCGTGCGTCCGATTTTGGCAATAAACATGTTAATTATTTTCTTAAATTCCCCGAATAACTGTGAAACTATGGACGTGATGAAATAATCAGGCTTAATATCATTGCAATTTGTAGAAGGCTTAAAAAAATGAGTGTTGTCCAAATCGGACCCTTACTGTAATGTTGATTTAAACTGAACGATAATCAATACATTTCTTCATGCCCAAATATAATTCCTGCTTAGTGTTATGAACTATTGGATTCATTTTATCATACTGCTTGCATAGTTAATTAGTATTTAAAGTTGCATTAATGTTCCAGAATATACTCATACCATTCTTCATTTGCATGCTCATTTCAATCCATCGCGTTCGATAATTCAAGCATCGAACTCGACGCTTCCATCAATCATAATGCATAGGATCTCGTTACTTTTACCGTTCGTTATCCCTGATCAAGTAGTTACCCATCTCCCAACTCTATCTCTCTGACATCTGCAGTCATTGTTGCGCATGGAGACCCCCCCAATCTCTTCCCACCCATAATAACGCTTAACCACAAACGCTTGACTAACCTCACACGTTCGTTCACCCTTTCCAGGATCGGAAACGCCACGCCGCGCCGCCGCCGGTCAGGACTCGCACAACCGTCTGTTCGGCGAAGTGGACCGCCCGTACACACCGGCCAAGAACCACATGAAGAGCAATCTGCCCATCGGAAGCGACGCCACGGATTCGGGAAAATCCAACGGCCACAGCAATGGCTCCAGCAAGACGTCATCGTCGAATGGACATCATCAGAATGGAAACGGCGTCGCTCATACCAACGGCCATAGCAGCAATGGCAGCAACGGTAACACTGCCAATGGACACAGCAACGGTACTTCCACATCATCAGCGCCATCCCAGAATGGATCATCTCACAGTAAGTTCTGTTCTGAGTTGTTGTGTTTTTTTCGGGTTAAAGTTTCTTCTTGATCCCCCCCCCCCCTTGCTCTCTAACACGGTGTAATTGGTTTTGGTTGAAGTTTGCTTTTGCGGTCTAATAGTTTGAAGCGCACACGGATTTCTTTGGTCACGGAGGAAGCACGTTAATTATAAGTTCCTACAACACTAACCAACACCAATTTGTCTCGCATGCTTGGGTGTAATTTTATATCAATTTCCCAGTATCTGCTACATTCCCGCCCCCGCGCCGTTCTCCACCACACCTTCTTCGGCGAGTCTCAGGAGTGACAGAAATGACGTTCGACATGACTCGCCAGCTATGGGCCCCATGGTTCTTGGCTGTGATCCCACTTTGTGTAGACTTCATCATAACTTCAACCGAGGAGCGTCGCGATCCGGAACGACACAAGATAAGAAGCGTCGTCGTCGTCGAGTCAAGCTCTGTGGCAGCACAGAAATCTTGTTTCTTAATGAAATAAATGCTGCACGGTATCGGGTCGCGATGTTCCGGGGAGGAGGGAGAACGAGATCACTATCGTTCCACCTTCAATGTTCCTTCGTCTTTCGATTAATTTGTGAGTGCCTGCCTTGGGGTTTGGTTTATCCACGGTACCTACCTATGACAGGGAGGAGACAACACACGGACCGGAGGTTATCTCTGGCAGTAATTATTCCATTCATCTGTTTGTCACGGTGCACGTCTCGGATCGAGTTGTTGGATCTTGCCGGAATGCAGTAATTGATGTTCCAGAGTCGCCTTTTTTCATATCGAAGGCCATTTCTTCAGATATCTTGAATATCTATGCTGCTACAAAGCAGGAAGTTAAACAAATTGCGTTTTCATTTCAAGCCCACTCAGGAAATTCGAAACCATCGCTTCGATCTTGATCGATTTTTACGCTCTTTTGCAAACAATGACACAATCTGCTGAAATGTGATGACTCTTGCATAGATTCATTGTAAATAAATCACTCACCAAGTCGCTCGGCTGTGACGGTGATCTTTGCGATTCAGCTCCTCCCAGCATTCCCTACTTTTCGATGTCATTCCCCTCCGCCCGGCAATGATCCGATTCACCACGGTTCACGGCTAGAATTCCTCAGTTCGCTCTTATTATCTGTCATTTGCTCGGTTCCCCCCTTCCGAAGCACCTCCCTCCCTACATTTTCTCTGCATTTTATTTCTCACGTCGTCGTCGTCGTCGTCGTCGCCGTCGTAGTCGCTATCGTCGCTGGAAGTTAACATCCACTAATGAAACGATTTTTTAATTTCATGCAGTCTTCCTGAGGAGATTAAGTAAGTCCAACAATGTTCACACAATGCCACAAAAGACACTCAGGGGGTACGATTAGCGCGCAATCATCCGTCACTTCATCGCTCAAAACGCCTTCGCCTTTTCACATTCTCGCCTTAAAGCTTTCAACTCCATTGACTGGCCTTAACTACTGTTCCCCTAAATAACTGACACACCTTAACTGATGGACGCAAATCGTTTACAACCTTGTACGAACACCATGTTTCAATTACCATGGACATTTTATTCGACTTGCGACTTGGACGAGAAAGCCCGTTTTGTGCGAATGCACGCCCATACAAGCTCCCATCAGTTCCCTCATCCTCACAGATTGGAAATGTAGAAAATTTGTCACCTTACACGAAATTGATTGGAGTGGAAATCAAAATGCACGAATCTTTTCCCAGAAGCACTGTGTAGAATTTTCGATCGGATGCTTCGTGTAGCACTTAATTGGCATATGAGACAGTTTGAAGCTGGAAAAGGATTACCGGGCAACATCATTGACGGGTGCAGCTAAACCGAGGGTATTGCTCGATTTTTGTTTTTCGTGAGTTTTCACTTAGCTTTTAGTTGTTGGTTTTGGCTTTTTAATTTAGCTTATTTATTTCCGTAAAATATATTATTTCCTGTAGCATCTGGTAAATCCCAGCAAAAAAGAAACAGTGGTAGAGCGTTCGCCTAGAGTTCTGGGAGGTGTGGGTTTGATTCTCACCGGTAGGCAATGGATTTTGACGTTTGTAATTTCTATATGGGGTTACACTTTGTGAAAACCGAAATTGGAACATGTAACAAAATTATGAAAGATTTTGAACGTGAATAACTCAGCTGCCATGGACCACTTTCAATAATTTTATCACCAATCGATCAGAAATATTCCTACGCATCTGATAAATTCAAAACTTAATCATTTTTCAAAATGTCAATATTGAAAATTGCACGAATGTGCAACTGTAGCTATGATAATTAAAATTATCACCGATTGCCTGCGAAAAGCGATTTCCCTAACACAGATTTCAAAGCTGAATTCCATTCGGTCTCATCGAACGATGTTTATTCATTCGCCGTATGGTGAGTGGTGGTGTTCTCCAGTATACAACGAAAGGCTCCCCGCAAGCAGCAAGCTATCAAGGCTGGTCTAAGCCGCTGATCGGATTCAGTTCCAACACCGTGTGTGGTGGTGTCCAGTCGTCGGCATCAGCTGCAGCAGCAGCAGTGCTTTTGGCACGTGGCGTTGAACATTGTTCTCCAGTTCACAACGAAAGGATGTCTGCAAGCAGCGAGCTGCAGCCCACATGAGCATCTATAGAAGGAGTAAGAAGCCGCACCGCTATTGATCGGAACAGTAGCTCTTTGTGAGTTGCTGTGGGCCATCTATGCCAAGGAGGAAGTTCAACCTAAAGGAGTTCAAGCTTGGAGGAGAACAGATCCATCTTAGTGAACAGGTCAAATACCTAGGAGCTATATTGGATGCCAAGTTGAATTGTAATGCTCAGATTAATTCTGTGATCAACAAAGCAACCAGTGCCCTGTGGTTATGCTCCAAAACTGTTGGTAGAAAATGGGGTTTGAAACCAACAATGACAATGTGGATTTACACATCAGTATTCCGCCCAAAAGTAACTTAGTAACGCACAGAGGAAGCTGGCAAAACTACAACGTCTAGCATGTATTGCTATAACGGGTGCGATGCGCAGCACCCCATCAAAAGCGTGAGATGCAATTCTCAATCTACTGCCCTTGCATGAATACGTGCAACTAGAAGCGGAAAGAAGTGCTCTAAGGCTCAAAAGGTCTAAAAAAGTCATGCCTGGTGACCTGGTTGATCACCTAAGCATTTTACAATACTTCCAAAGAGGACCAGTGATGAGTATGAATGGAGACTGGATGAAACCAGAGGACAATTATGACACTCCCTCGGTGGTCCTAGCGTTCGTCAAGGCTCAATCATATTTTTCACAGATGGCTCAAAAATTGGAACACAAACCGGTGCAGGAATCTTTAGCCCTCAGACATTGTCCAACAGTGTTTCAAGCGGAAATCGTGGCCATACTTGAATGTGTAAGTGTTTGCCTAAGGAGAAAATAAAGATGTGCAAATATCTGTATTTTTTCTGACAGTCAAGCAGCACTAAAAGCGCTTCGTGCTTACAAATGTACATCAAAGATTGTCTGGGAATGTATTCTCTTGTTGCGACAGCTGTGCAAACAGAACTTAGTAAACTTATTTTGGGTTCCTGGACACTGTGGCATTGAAGGGAATGAAAGGGCAGACGATCTCGCAAAATTAGGTTCCAATTCACCGTTTATTGGCCCAGAACCATACTGTGGAATATCAAACTGTACGGTAAAAATGGAACTCAAACGCTGGGAAGAACAAAGGGTGATGGCCAACTGGATGGCCGTCACGACGTGCAACTAGTCGAAAAGATTTATAACTCCAAATATAACACATACCAAAAAGCTCTTGGAGCTCAATAAACGGGCTCTTAGTATATACACTGGCCTAGTAACTGGGCACTGTCCGAGTAGATATCATTTGAAGAACATTGGTCGGGTTCAGAGCGATATCTGCCGTTTCTGTAGCATAGAACGTGAACCCTCGGAACATCTGCTCTGCAGTTGCGGTGCATTACACAAGCGTAGATCTAAATTTCTTCGTAGAGTTATCTTACAACCTAGTGGAATTTGGTCTGCTAATCCTGGAAAGGTAGTTGGTTTCATAAACCATATCATACCTGACTGGGAAAGAACGTGTCCAGGCAATTAGATGTCCACTCATTAAATGGTGGTCAGCTTGCATGATACGAACAGTAAACAGGGGTACCACAAAAGTTCAAATAATAGACGCAGTGGTTCAACGACCCAAATAAAACAGCATACAGCTCACCTGCCTCATCTGTATTTAAAACCCTAATAGCTCAGCATTACTCAACCATCACGACAAACGGTCCTTTTCAGGACCACCATAAATTTGTAAAAGAGCATTTTTTTACATTTGACAAGGTCAGTTCCCATATCAAGATAGAGCTGGAATTAGGCCGTTTTCAAGCTTATCGGTATCACATGTTTGAAAAAATCGGTATTTATCGGTATTGACGATTTTGTTTAATTTTATATTTTTTCCGTTTTTGAAAGCGAAAATTTAAACTTTTGGACTAAGAACGAAAAATTTACTTTCTAGGAGAAGCCGGAAAATATTTCTGGGGAATCTTTGAATTAGCTTCTGAAGGTAGAGAAAGAATAAATTAGCACTTCTGGAGGAAGTTTGAAGAAAGTTCTAATAAATGTCGGGGACCTTCCAAGACAAATATTGAGAATCTGCTGGAGAAAATATAAATAAACTTTCGCAAAAATCGGATGACACATCCAGAGGGGGAGGCATTGAAATTTCGAAAATTGGAAGCAAATTCCAGGAGTTGCCATTTCCACGGGAAGCCAGAAGAAGCTCGGAAAAAATTGGGAATGGCTTGTGGATAAACTTCCAGAGAAGGATAAAATAAACCTTTGGGAGAATTCAATGTTTAATTGAGCTTCCTGCAGAAGATGGAAGAAGTTTCCTGAAGATGCAGGAAGAAACTTCCTAAGGTAGAGTGTAAGAATATTCTGGAGAAAGTCGGAAGCCAGAGGGCTTACGGAATAGAAGAGTTTTTCTGTTTTTCGTGAACAAATCCCTCGATGAAAATTGCCACCATTCGCATGGAGAATCGCCAACAGAATCTCGACTCGTGAATCACGAACAACAATCCAAACGAACCATCGTACCAAAAACCGAACAGACATGCTTATATATGTTTGTCTTCTTCACACGTCCTTTCAATCATATATTTTTTTATGGCCATTACGAAACGTATTTTATTCTTCTCGCGATCGATAAGATCCTAGAATTTCTTCGCTTTGTATCTTTCTTATCGTGTTATGGCAGCCGTTGAACGTTCTGCGTCGATAGGGTTGTACGTTATTGGATTCAGCAAAATGATACACTGAACAAAAGTACCGGTTATTTATTTATAATTATTATTGACGCTACCGATCTTGTTGGCAGCATACCACTCCAGAACCATATTGGAGTAGTGGCAGCTGGCCAAATCGGGCCAAAAGATGACTTTACCCGTAAAAAAAAGAACCGTAGAGGTACAATGAAATGTATTGTAACCATACAATAGAGTTTATGGTATTTACAATAAATCGTATTCTCGACAACGATAAAATAACAATAGAATGTATTGTTTTTACAATAGAATCTATGGTAAATGGGGGAATATACAATAGATTAAGGGGGTCGTTATGTATCTTAACCATACGAAAAATCACTTTTTCTCGAACAAACTTGAACCATTTACCATTAATTGTATTGTTGTTCTATTGTTGAAAACTCTTACTATATGGGACCTATTGTACATCTATTGTAATAACAATATGTTAAAACTTCGTGTACTATATACACACAATAAGATCGATTGTTGGCAATAGATTTACGTGTAACTGTATTTTATTTTATGGTAATTGTATGGTTATTTTTTTTCCGGGTACCCATATGCTTGCGGATGAACGGCAATACACGCTTTTCAGGCATTTTTGGATGTAAACTTGGGATGTCATCGTCGAGGATGTGACAAATGGTTCCGTTTTCAGGCCACAACTGCAAATTGCTTTCGTCATCGATCAAAGTGCAGCCCTTGTGTTTCGTCAAAACACGGTCGTACAAGAGCCTTGCAAGCTTTTTGGCCACTGGCTGTTTACTGGCTTGGTACGACTTGCATCCTTCCCTGGCAAGGATGTTCCGCACAGTTTGAAAGTTGTACCTTCTGGTCACATCTCGGATCGAAAGACCGGGGTTGGCTTTAACGCTCCTCAACACCTTACTGCGCAGGTGACGATCCCTGGTTCCAGTTTTTTCGTAGGTCCGCTGATTCCATTCCACACTCAGGGTTTCCTTGTAGGTATTGAGCACTCGACAAACTGTTGTTTTCGGCATCTTCAGCACTTTAGCCAGCTTGGAA